CCTTTGAAGTGTGCGTACAGCAAGTTCACTGCTCAGTGGCCGGCAAAGTCTGTCTGAATTCCAACAATGCTCCGAAGACAGCGGTGTTCAAAAGCAGACAGCCTCTCAACATCGTTTGCGCAAACAGGCCGTCTCGCAGCCATAGAGGAGAACCGCTGTCACTCTGGCATTGTAAAATCGGACCTTCAGTGCTAGAGTCAGATCGCCTTGGCGCCAGAGATGCGGTGATTGGAAAAAGCGACCCGACCATTGGAGATGCGCAAAGAGAAGGCATCCATTAAATTATTAGAGCTGAGAAAGCTCCCAAGGTAAACGAACTTGTCCACCACTTCCAATGTATGACCTAAAAGAGTAAGGTTGGGAGCAGTGCCTAGCCAGTCTTCACGGAAAACTGTAGCAGTCTGGAGATTCCCCGGCTTGCCTGTGTAAAATTCTAACTAAAATTATTTCATTGTACATCTAGGCAACCGGTGTGGATTGTTGAACTGATTGCTGAGTTCGAATGCTTGACTTGCTCACTGCCATTTTCGCTTGGCGCTCGCTTCGGTTGCAACTCGCAACTGCCCTGTGTGCTGTGCTTGCTCCGTTCCTTTAGCTAGAGCGTCCACGGTGTCGTTTCTTTTATAGCTAGATAACAGGGAATCTTTTACTGTACCAATAAAAGTTTCCCTGCAACTCGATCCGTCTTCTCGAATCGCTTTCTGGGCTCCTGGTACAGGCGACCCTCTAAATTGGTGACCCCGTCTCCGGAACAATCTCAGCGCCAGATATTCGGAACTTTACTCCGGTGAGCTCGTTTCATTTATTTTTTCATATTTTGCTGTTTATTTTTGCATACAGTAGCCTGTTTTTGCGTCATTTTTAAGCCATGGATTCTGTAGACCCTAAGGTAGAGTCTCTGCTAAGCGTTGTATCTCTCTCCGTACCACCTTTTTGGGACTTGGATCCTCTTTTGTGGTTCGCTCATTTTGAGGCTGAGTTTTATAACCACAGAATCACTTCCGACTACGCGAAGTATTGCAAGCCCTTATCCTATCTCCCCAAGGAGATAATGCAGGTTCGTGACGTTATCATTTCTCAGACCGAAAACCGCTATGAGTCTCTCAAGGAGGCCACGATTAAGCGTGTTATGCCCTCTGAGAAAGTTCGCCTGCAGCAGCTTTTCAGGGATTTGCAGCTAGGCGACAAACTGCCCTCAACCCTGCTGCGTAAGATGCAGCAACTCCTTGGTTCCTCAACCATGGACGAGACTTTACTTCGCGAACTATGACTACAGCGGCTACCGGAAAACACGCAAGCGATTCTCGCTACAGTGAGCTCCGTTTTGCTCACTCAACTAGCAGATTTAGCGGATCGAGTTATTGAGCGATCACAGCCACAAGCCAACGCCAGCAAGGTCAATGCCGTCGCGTCCCAGGGCACTTCTATCACTGGCTTACAGTCCACTATAGAAGCCCTGCAAACACAAGTTGCAACACTTAGTCGCCAGGTGCAACAGCTTAGCATGAACCGTCGTTGTCATAGCCGCTCGAAATCGCCCTGCAAACGTTCTCAGTCTAGCAACAGGCAGGCTAGCTGTTGGTACCATCAGCGTTTTGGTACCGCAGCTCATAGATGTGTAAAGCCTTGCAACTTCGCCGAGAAGCAGGGAAAACTTCGGGGCCGGTCCGTAACGGCGACGGACGCGACTGGCCAACACCAAAGTCGCCTCATCCGCGTTAGGGATTTAACTTCCAGCACCGAGTTTCTAGTCGACACTGGTGCCGAAATTAGTGTTATACCCCGTAGCCCAGATGAGGTCGTCTCACCATCGCCGACCAAGCTGCGTGCCGCCAATGGCACACCAATCGCAACTTTCGGCGAAAAGCTGCTAACTCTCAATTTAGGCCTCCGGCGAACCTTTCGCTGGCCTTTCATAATCGCTGCCGCGCCTTTCGCCATCATAGGCATAGACTTTCTTCAACGCTTTGACCTCATTGTCGACGCTAAAAGGAAGAAGCTTATCGACTCCAGGACACAGCTCAGTGTTATCGGGACTAGCGCCATCGTGGCTGCTATCACTCCCATTCGTGTCCTACCTCAAGCTTCACAACCTTTTCTAGAACTTTTCAGCAAGCATCCTAAACTCGTTCGCGTCCTGAACGACTTGCCTCCTGTGACGTCAAACATCATGCATCACATTTGCACTAAGGGCCCACCTGTTTCGGCCTGCCCTCGCAGACTAGCCCCGGACAAGCTCAAAGCTGCTAAGGCGGAATTCGAGCAAATGCTCGAACTGGGAATAATCCGCCCGTCCAAAAGTCCATGGACATCACCATTACACATGGTGCCGAAGAAATCCGGTGACTGGCGCCCCTGTGGTGATTACAGGGCACTTAACAAAGTTACCGTCCCGGATAAATACCCAATTCCGCACATGTACGACTTGACCTCAGCTCTAGCTGGCAAGTCTATCTTTAGCAAAGTCGATTTAGTTCGCGCCTACCACCAGATACCTGTGGCGCCAGACGACATTGCTAAAACAGCAGTAATCACGCCATTTGGCTTATTCGAGTACCTCAGAATGCCTTTCGGCCTCAGGAACGCTGCCCAAACTTTTCAGCGTTTCATTCATGAGGTAACGCGAGGACTCGAAGGCGTTTATCCTCATCTAGATGACATTCTCATCGCCAGCTCTTCTGACGAGGAGCATCTTCATCACCTCGATGCACTCTTCTAACGCTTAACACAGCATGGGGTTACCGTCAACACCGATAAATGCGAGCTTGGCCAAAGCTCCACAGACTTTGTTGGCCACCGCATATCCGCCTCTGGTATCGAAGCTCTGCTAAACACAACTGCCCTGTGTGCTGTGCATGCTCCGTTCCTGTAGCTAGAGCGTCCACGGTGCCGTTCATTTATAGCTAAGTAACAGAGAATCTTTTACTGTACTAATAAAACTTTCCCTGCAACTCAATCCGTCTTCTCGAATCGCTTTCTGGGCTTCCGGTACAGGCGACCCTCTAAAAACCTTGCACTTTGATGGTGCACAGGTCATTCAAACTGGGAGACACACACCTTCAACCCACAAAATATATTTTGTGCGGCCTATGAGAAAGCGCAGATTACTGCGATGTCGTCTGCATATTCCAAATCCCAAAGTCGGTCGCATGGAAGCAGCTGAACGCTTCTGGGTTCGCAGTTCTCCAGAGCACTCTCTAAGAGTTCGTTTATAGTGAATTTGAACAAAACTCGGATGCTGATAAACACTGTTTTACGTCACTGGTGATAACAAAGGGCGCAAAAGTCCGCCGTACACTCGTCCACGGCCCAAGGGTTGAGAGCAGATGGCTTGAAGTAAGGTGACATACTACTCGTGAACTTTTCTTTTCAGTAGACAACTCCAGAGAGCAGCTCTTTCGACTGAAGCAAACGCAGCTCGTATGTCAAGAAGACAACGATCGTTGGCTAACCAAATGTTTAAGGACGCTCGAGTATTTAGCGGAGTGTAAAGAAGTGATCAATGCAACTCCGACCCGAGCGGAACCTAGCTTGCTCTGTTCGCGTACCGGGCTGAGCCTCCTTAAAAGCAGAGCTGCAGCACCTTAAAAGCAACACAGCTGCGACTAATCCCTCTGTGCTTGACGCAGTCACTTTGAGTACCTATGCCATTCTCTGCTGTGCATAGCGTGACAAACCTTAGTTTATTGCGACTGAACGATTCCGCTATGAAATCGCCATCAGCACCAGCGCACTCCAAAAGTTAGGTTTGCTTTTGATAATTAGATAAATGTACAAAACAAAATTTCTAGGTAATTAGTATCTTTCTAAGTAGGCATAGCGTTTGCTAAAGATATTACTAATTCCTAACTGATCTTTCAGCTCTTTATCATACATTTTACTATCAAGTTGCAGTAGAGCTGCAATAAACTTTATGCGACACAGTTGCATCCTTTATCATTCTTATTTTTGGATAAGAATTACTTCGTCATAATTTTACATTTTTCGCTCCCTTAAATAAAGATTGTGAAGACCGATGACTTTTTTATTTCATTTCAGGGTTATATACTATGCATGCCACGAACATACTTTAAAAATTAAATACTCAATTTATACATTAACTTTCTGTTTCCCATTCGCCTGCAGCTAAGGAAGCTGACTTAAAATTCTTTCAAGATCCAAACTATTTGTGAATACTTTAAACCGTTCTTTGCTTTTTGTAATGCTTCTGTACAAACGGAATCAAGCAAACCGTCGGGCTACGCTGTGCATTATGTGCCACTTGTTTAATATTACAAGTCATCCATACTATTTCAAAGCTTTTGTTTTTCCATTGTTGGCCACTAATAAACCAATTGATTAAGGTAAGTGATTGAAGCTTCCAAGTCAACAAATGCACCAGTTCAAAGTGAATTGTTACCGATTTGCAGGCGCGTAATGAATCTGCCTCACACAAAATAGCCGAATAATGACAAGGGCAGCACGGCTTGAATACCTTCAACTTAGAAATATAACAGCACGTAAGATAAATTAAAGGAGTGATGAATTACTTGCTTTTAACTTACACCGGTACATGGTTAGGTGGGGCATGGGAATGCTGATTAACAGCTTCGGGTGATTACCCAGCATGGAAGTTGTCCCATGAGGATGGTTGACGGACAACCATACTACTTCAATTGAATCTTTTATTGAATTATAAATTTTCTTGCAATTAACTAGTTCGTTACAAAAATGTAATAAACTAGTCTACCATTTTAGAAAGGCGTTCGAGAAACACTAAACCACTTAATCACGTAACTCTCTAATACGATGCCGAAGCACAACTTGATCAGACCACGTATTGAGCTGTATCTGTCTTTTAGTAAGTACTGAATTAAATGGTAAGTTTCCTTAACCTTAGTTCACTGAATCCCATTGGCTATCGTTATTGCTTTTAGGTAAGTATTAAGAAGATAATCGGTTATAAGGTTAGTACTTGGTACAAAACCACTTAGAGTAAGAAGAACATATCGTTGACATACTTTTGCCGCAGATTCCAAAATCTGCTCTAAACATTTGCCAAACTCTTCCAGTATTACACGCTCCTGACTAACTGGCGAAAATGATCTTTGTTTTGCTTCATCCAATTGAGCGAGCATGCAGCTGCAAGCTGCTTCAGTAACCTCCACTGATAAAAATCCATTAGGTATTCTGCATTTGATTAGCAACACATATGAACAATGCACTCTTACATAGTAACCCCTGGATAATTGTGGTAAGCAATCATAGCTTCTGATTCATTGTCATAATGTCCAAAAGCCTGAGTGGCATGTGGTAGTCGGACAAATTGCTCAGTACAGCGGTGATAAGCAGACGGCCTATCAAAGACGACAGTAGTCACGATTCCGAGCTACCTCTTATGCGCATGAGAACTTTTTGGTTTCGTAATTGGCAAAGTACCTAATTGGGATGCACTCTCCTGAGAGCATACGTTATCAATATTTCTGCAACCTTGACAGCGGCACAAGTCGGAACAGTTGATTTTTGCCTATGGTTTTCAAACACTTATGCAAATGTTAATTACCTCATAACACTCACAGTAATTTTTAAGGCACCCCGAACGTTTGCAATTGCAACCTTTTGAGTGTTTTCGATCATTTTCACCTAAAATGCTACTTGTGTAAAAAGTAGTACCAATTTTTGGATGGAATGCAAGTGGATTTCTTTCAAGGGTCAACTTGATTGCTTTACGACGGGCATCGTCATGAGTTACGTTGTTCATACAGTTTGTGCAGTTGCAGCCATCACAAATGGCCCCACGCGCGAAGCATTCACAATAAAGTTTCAAGCAATGCGATTTGGCACAGTTGCAGGGTTTTCGGTAGGAGTTATGAAAGGTTATTAAAGGAACAACAGTGGCCGTAGGCATATTTGAAATGCTTTTTCTTAATGAGTGGGAATCCGCTTCCGTTTCTTCGACTGAGTAGAAAATCTGCAATAAGCACTCAAATAGTACAGGAAGTACATTTGCGTGATCCATGTCGCTGTGGAATGCTTGCTGCATTCCACATGCACTAGCCGCGTTTTCATGCAAAGTGATTAGATTCATTGTTTTTCGACCTATTTTTCTGCGCCTTCATTGGGTGTCTATAACGGAAACCGAGGGCAATTTCATTCTCAGCGCGAATACTTCATTTAACCTTGAAACTATTATAATGTCGATGTTAAGATTAGTTTAACTACCTAAAACGACAAAGAAGGTATAACAAAAGATGTTAAGGAAAGGATAAATCTACTTAGTTTTCTTTTTTGTCTCCTGTGGGGCTTTAAATGGTAACCTACAACCATGTAAAATACATCTGGACGAAGGTTTCCGTGTCTTGGGGGTGCCAGGGTCGTAGTGGGCCGAGGATACTGAATGGCAACACAGAAACTTTGTAGGCGGTTGGATAGTTTCATCTCAACAACCCACTAAGTGTCGGAGCTGAAGTAAATTGACACTTGACCAACACCTTGTGGCGGTTCCGTTGTTGTGGTGTTCCCCGAGGTGGGCAACTTGATTGAAGACGTTTCGTCAGCAATATTGGTGACATCACCAGCACAGGTTTGATAGCAGTCAGGCAACAAGGGCTAGTAGAAAACACCGCGCAAGGCCACGTGGTACCGGGCGTCAATGAGAAACACCACGTGCAGCGACGGCCCAACAAGTCAGATTTGACACTCAAATGTGACCAGCTGGCTCATTTAGGGCTTGAGTGTGCGTGACGTTGGCCAGACCTGATAATGATGAACTTTGGTGAACCTGTCTTGTTTTCACTTCTTACTCGGTTGCGAGGCCTTGTGAGGAGACCCTGGGTGCAAGAACCAGGAAAACACCAACTGTGCTTGGGCGCTGAAAGCAAATTCCATAAACGATTTATCTGCGAATGCACTGGATGCAATAGAAGCCGTTCTATTTCACTAGGAAACATGGACCTTGCTGTTAAACTATGCTGCTTATTGTCAGCCAAAGTACTTGTCTATTTGAAGGAAGTTCCTCAGGAGTCTAAAAGACGAATTAAATGCTAGGAAAAGCCCAACGTCGCCCTAAATTTTGGTTTCTGTGTGACCAGCCTCACGAAGTGGTTCGGACGGTCAAACTACAGATTAGACAGCAGAAGCTATGGACAGTACTTGCTGAATTTGTACTCCAATAAGGGTGTGCAAGTTTGATACAAGGTTAACTCTTAATCAACTGCGTAGAATCCACCATGAGGTTATATTTATATGCGTAACTGCTGTTAGGCACCAGGATGGGTAACGTTAACTGCATTAAGCTAGGCTTTCATGCTATCAGTGCTTAACGAGAGAAATTATACATCGCCGATTTTTCGCTGCAAGTTAAGTCACCTACCAGTGGTGAGTAGGGATGCCAGTTACTTAACCGTTTTTTGTCTGTCGTTTAAGAATGGTCTGTCAAGATAATAGGCATTCCTGTAATCCTAACCAAAAACAGCCGCTTGCTCAAATACCCTTGAGTCTACATCGGCTTTTTCAACAAGACCTGCACTTTCTACACCACAACCTTGTGCTCCAGCTTTCTCAAACTTACCAAGCTTTTCAACATGTCCCATCATACAATCTTTCCCGTACTTCTGTCCAACACGAGGTTTATAACCAACAAGCCCGCCTTCTAGCCATGGTTGCATCACTGAGTATTCCAACTAAAATCCTCATCCCATATCCATGGTGCCCTACCGATTCGTTGGATTCAACTCTAACAAAACCTAACTACTACATATTTCATTAAGAGCACTACACAAGGCCTGGGCTGTATGCTTTATACATCTGTGCTCACTGCGGATTTAAACCTCCAGGAGACAGATTGGGATCATGCTTCCAATACATTGGAAACACTGAAGAAGTAAATTTTGCTATGGGTGGAGGGAAACGCATCTTTCCAGTATATCCACTTTTCGACTAGAAAGCGTCTTGATTGTGCTCTTTCAATGCTTAACGTTGTACTGACTAAACATGGCCACTTGTCTAATGTGCGAGCCAAGTCATCCATTGGTAAGCGTGACCATTGTGTCATTACCTTCTCTTTAAATAATAGAAGGCTTTCAGAACAACCATGGCCTGTTAGGTGCCTTGGTGGCATCGGCCTAAATAGGTTGGGGGTCAGAGTACGATAGCTAAGTCAGGTTCCTGAAGTTGCTCAGGCCACCTTAGGACAAACATCGAGGTTAGTCCGGCGCGGGTTTGTTCAGCTACGAGAAACTTTCGCCACGCTACGCCCCAGGAAACACTCCCCTAAACCTAAATAATTGAACTTTAACATCGGTCGTGCGATAAAGCATCGCAAGGTTGCTTAGAAGAACTGTCAAGAAGCAAGTGGATTTGTTCTTTGGTTGCGGTACAAGTGATGTCGTAATGCAGCAATAAAGCTGTAGCGGCAAGCATTGTAATGCTCTTAAGCTAGACCGGCCCAAAATATAACAGCAACACTGAAGAGATATATTTATGTTAAAGGTAAGCATACTATAAGGCAGTGAATTGGTAAGTTACTGGCCGATGACGGTAGCTATGCCACAGAGGACGTAGCCCAAGCAGAGGTGATTCTGCAAGTTCTTCAAAAAGGGTACCGTAAGGATGCTGGGCTTCCTATGCCTTTACTTTCAAGTTGTCAGTATAATAGGATAATGCTGGATCCTCCGCTTACTGCAGCGCAGGTCTTCTGGTTACTGGCTAGCTTAGACCCATATAAGTGGGTTGGACCCGACAAAGTGTACCTTGGTGTTGTCAAACTGCTATCTGACATACTCCAATACTCTGTCTTGGAGATGTTCAACAGTTTATTACGTGAGAGTAGGCTACCAGATGACTAGAAGAAGACAACTGTTGTAGGCTTACATAAAGGAGGGTTCAAATCCCTACGCCTCAAATACAGGTCCGTAAGTCTAACTAGAGCTTTACTTACCTTCTTGGAAAAGCTCATCCAAATAGGAATTTGTGAGCACGTAGTTAATTTTAACGTAATTAGCGTCTAGCAGCACGGTTTTGTTAAGAAGCAAACGTGCCTTACCAATCTTTTTTGTTTTTTAGATAAAATAACCAGCTAGCTGGATGATGGAACCTCAGTTGAATCATGTTACCTCGACTTTAGCAAGGCCTTCGACTGGGTTAACAACCGACTCTTACTTGCGATATAGGAATAGTTTGGGCTGCATCCTCAACACTTGACTTAGATCGCAGCGTTTGCTTGCGGTAGAACCCTTCGCTTTAGGGTCGGCGAAGCTAGATCAAGCATCGACATTGCTCACAACAGCGTTATCCAAGATTCCGTTTTAAGACCATTATTGTTCATCATGGCTAGCAGGGACTTAGCTCCTCTTATAGATTACCTCTCTCATATCTTCGCTGCTGCTCTGAAGATCAGCAGCAGGGGTAAAGTTGACAGGTTGTTTAGGGACCTTTGCACAGTAGTGGATTGGTCGGTTAAATGGGATATGCGTTCGAACGCTAGAAAATGCCTGGTACTGACTTCTCAAACCGATAGAATTATGGCGCTAACGTCTGTCTGGCCTCTACATCTGCGACATGGATGAAGCACGGGACTTAAGCGTCATTGTGGCAAAAGACTACAAAACTCCAGTACAATGTAAGCATGCTGTCAACAAGGCACGGAATGCGTTGTTTCACCACAAACTATCTTTCTGCAACGCTAGAGCTGAGGTTTTCCTTTCTTCCTAAAAAGCGGTGGCAAGACCTCATCTAGAAAACGGTTTACAAGCCTGGGCACAATACAAATGGGAAGACGTGGCCTGTATGGAAAAGGTTCAACTGCTGGCGCCTGGACTGATTAAGGGTCTAGGTGATGAACCATATGCTGGGCGCTTAAGGAGCTTAGACATGTTTTCATTGGAATGGCACAGACTAGAAGGGACTTAATAGAGACGTATAAACTCACGAAGGGGTTTGGTGGTATCCAGTTTATTGAACCGTTTGAGTTAGGCGGGTAATATCCCTTGCGAGTGCACCAAGTACATTTCAAGCAACAGAGAGCTGGTCTGGATAGCAGGGCGATATTCTTTACGTATCGTGTAGGTAATAGCTGGAATAAGCTACATCTAGCACTAATAGAATGCAGCACTGTAGAGGACTTCAAAGGATGCATAGTTACGTATTTAGCTGAGCATTATCCAAAATTATTGTAACTTTGCTGCAGCATGTCACTGTAACCTCCTAATGCGTGACCACACAAAGAACGCTTTTCTTTTGTTTTAAACTTTTGCAGACGCCGCAAAAAGCAAACGGACCTCGAAGTACCCATCACTCTGTTTCACTTACCGGTGCAAAAACAGCACGCTCGTTTGGCGAAAGCCTGTATCACCCTTGGAAGCTGAATTGACTTGCCTTGCAGCAAGCTTACCTAGCTACGCCTTTTGAACAGCATGAACTAGAAACCGTCCATAAAGCTCACTGGTTGGTTGCTGCTGGCATTTTCCATCCTATACTGCTCGGATGCATCTACAACCCCACAATACCTCACTGGCGTAGTTGTAAATATCCGCAAAGAAAACGTCATTGTTGGAAGCTTCAATTTTTGGAAAATATGTTGGCCACTTACAGCTCTCCTGCCAAATTTTATGGCTGGAAAACGGACACAATGTGTTACCGAACACAAGAGAGCAACTAAGGCACTTAGATTGATACTTACATTAAGAATCGTCAGTCCAAATATCAATCAGCTGGACTGTCTCTCAGTTATTGTACATAATATATTACAATTAACTTTCGATAGCAGACCAAACATCAATTTCCTTCTGCTCCCATTCTATCAAGGGAATTAATGTGTACTTCTCACAACATTTGGTCAAACCTTCACACATGAATGCCTTTTTCTTCCCCACCTAGGTATGCTACTGATGGCACGGTTCTATACTAAGATGATTGGCCGACTCCGGCTTCGGAGTTGCCTGTCACTGTGGCCAGCCACAGGACGCTTGCGCCTACGGACGGTCTATAGTAACATACTATGTATAGTAGCTCATCTGCATCTACCAAGTATACCTGTTGTCTACGGCTCTAAGAACACAAAATATGATTTCCACTCAGGAAGTGAAAGTTGTTGGCACGGTATTACATATACAAATTACACTTACCCCAGGATTGTAAATTCGTGCCAGCAAATTACATAGCTGGTTGAGTAAGTGTTCTT